ACCGTCTCCATCTGCGACAAGGACTACTGGAGTCCACACACCCAATTATGCCTACCGTTCACCTGCTCGACTATGTAGCCGGAAATGTCCGCTCCCTGGTGAATGCCATAAACAAAGTTGGCTATGAGGTCGAATGGGTGAAGTCTCCAAAGGATCTGGAGAATGTGGAGGTGGGCTTTTTTGATCCGATGCTTATGCGCAAGTTCATATGATTAACTGCGACCGCTATAGAAACTTATCCTTCCGGGAGTTGGTCACTTCGGTCATTGCCTATCCCAACTTTCCGAGGGCGGTTATCTAGAACCAATTAGACGACACATCGATTCCGGCAAACCCTTCATGGGCATCTGTGTCGGGTTACAGGCGCTGTTCGTTGGATCTGAGGAAAATTCCGAAGTGCCCGGGTTGGGGGTAATTCCTGCTCGGATGCAGAAGTTCAACGCCGATACAAAAAGTGTGCCTCACATCGGATGGAATTCTGCGTTGGATACTTCAACTGTCAATCAAAGCTTCTATGGGTTGAGCCCTAGCAGCAAGTACTATTATGTCCACTCTTACGCAGCACTCTATACCCCTGGTCTCCTGGAAAAAGAGGGCTGGTCAGTAGCCACGGCTACATACGGTGAGGAAGAATTCGTCGGAGCCATAGCGCGGGACAACATCTTCGCAACGCAGTTTCACCCGGAGAAAAGTGGACAGGCTGGTTTGCGGACTATCCGTGCTTTCCTAGATGGGGATCGATTGCAGACGTTTTCTTTGGAACCCTCGCTTTCCTCGGCAAAGAAAGACGGTCTCACACGTAGGGTGATCGCCTGCCTCGACGTACGTGCAAATGATGCTGGTGATCTTGTTGTCACCAAAGGTGATCAGTATGATGTCCGTGAGAAAGAGGGGGTGAGCACGGGTGGCCAAGTCCGAAACCTGGGAAAGCCTGTTGATATGGCCAAAAGGTATTATGAACAGGGTGCTGATGAAGTAACATTCCTGAACATCACCTCCTTCAGAAACTGTCCAGTTGCGGATACACCTATGCTGGAAATCTTGAGAAGAACATCCGAAACGGTCTTTGTGCCGCTGACTATTGGCGGCGGAATCAAAGACACTGTTGATACTGACGGCACTCATATATCGGCCTTGGACGTTGCAACGATGTATTTCCAGTCAGGTGCAGATAAAGTGAGCATTGGGTCGGATGCTGTCTTTGCAGCCGAAGAATATCACCAGGCCGGCGGGAAATTAAATGGAAGGACAGCCATTGAGTCGATATCCAAGGCTTATGGTAACCAAGCTGTGGTAGTAAGCGTTGATCCAAAGCGCGTATACGTGAGCCAACCGGAGGATACTACGCACCACACAATTCGGACAAAGTACCCAAATGGTTCTGGACAGTCTTTCTGTTGGTATCAATGCACTGTCAAAGGTGGCAGAGAGGCCCGAGACCTTGACGTACGGCAACTGGCGCAAGCTGTTGAAGCAATGGGCGCCGGCGAGATTTTGTTGAACTGCATCGACAAAGATGGAAGCAACAGTGGGTTCGACTTAGAGCTGATCAACGATGTCAAATCCGCCATTAAAATCCCGGTTATTGCATCCAGCGGGGCTGGAAATCCTGAACACTTTGTCGAGGTTTTCCAGAACACGACAACAGATGCGGCTCTGGGTGCCGGCATGGTATGTAATCCCTTGCTCCTACTCACGTGCCTGGCTTTTTGATTTGCTGATCGTCCTTTTATTAGTTTCATCGTGGCGAATACACAGTCAGTGATGTAAAGAATTATTTAGATGACAGGGGATTTCTGGTTCGCAAGTTCGAAGCCAACAAATAGACTAGTTATGTTATCTCAAGTGTTCTAAGTAGCCTTCGTTCATGCTGCGTGAGGATCGCTATAGCTTTGTCTATAGATACCGGTTCTGCGTGCAAGTGTTACGTAGAAACAGTTCATAATCAGATCAGTTTCTACACCCTATTACTAGGCAACTGACTTCATACCCATTTATCAAGTACAGTACCTGACTGTTCTGTAGCCATTAACCAAATTATTCAGACGGGGTTACTATAATTACATTACAAATGACGTAAGCTATTCATTAGCTAAAAGCCGAGGTTCTGTTCGTTACAGCCCCACCAACCCCACCTTAGCTAAGTATGTATGGTTGACAGGTGACCGATTGACCGACTACCTCGCTTCATACTACAAATGATGAGACTCTTTCCTAAGTCTCAGAATCCGACGAAGCTGTATGTAATGCACTGCAGCAATATTAAGTGACAGCTTCTGGTTAATCAAAGCCGCCTCAAAGGCGAACATCAGATTCCTCTCAAAAGTAGGATCCTTTGGATCCTTTATCAACCGACCTGAGCTATCTACAGCACTGCTTGTGATCGGAGCAAGTATTTGACAATGCTTTACGCACCGTTCGCCTCTGATATAGAATTGCCATTCTACACTGCTCTCACATCTCAAAAGATAAATCATGACAAGCTTGATGACTCGGCTCGCCAAGTCCTGGGCCTTTATGAGCTTCGGCCTACGGACGCTCCTAACGCCTCATGCCGGATGCAAATACATGGGAATGCTCTCTCCAGCGATGAGTGAGTTCAAGATAGTCTATGGCCTCTATGCTTCTATTTCTATTTCCATTTAAGTGGGATCACTTACTCATCGGCTGGTTGATTATATAGGACGCCATCTGGATACTACCGCGCCGAGGGAACAATAAAGAATGTCAACACCATCGAAGAATATATGAATACCGACAGAGCACGTCTGCTTCAACAATCCGGAGATCTGGTTAGTTTTCGATCTGTCATATTGTTAAAGTAGTATTAACAATAGTTTGTTCCTATAGGTATCGAACGCCATACGCGATGGGAGTATTTACTCTTGTCCTGCCCTACTTTCTTCCTTCATCATTTTATCTTACGCAGATTTGAAGAAATACAAGTTTCACTACTGGTTTGCATTCCCTGCTCTGCATTCTGATCCTCCATGGGTCTCTGCAGGCGAACCTGAGTCAGCTGCGGAGCTTTACCAGGATCGGAGCCCAATCGGACGCACAGGCGCTCTGTCAAAAGGTGAGACCATGGCTCTTGTTGGTGCAATCCAGACATGGAGCTCTACTGTAGACAGCTGTCAGCGAGGCTTCTTCTTGGCGAGGAGATTATACGTCACTGAAAATCGCGCCCGTCATCAGGAAGGGCTCGGAAGTCAGAGTTCCGAGGATACAGATGACATACAAAGGCCAGAATGGCAGATCGCACCTCTCTCATCTTTCGAAAAAGGTTTCTTTCAAGAAGCAAATAGTGATGACTGCTTTGTGGGGTTCGCAGATCCCTCTAACTACGACAACGCGCCAGGCTGGCCGCTCAGAAATCTGTTATTCCTTGCCAAGCAGCGATGGGGGCTCAGCAAGATTCGAGTGCTTCGATATCGTGATCTACCTTCAGGCAATGGTCAATGCCGCAGTACCGTGCTGACACTAGAACTGAAAGATGCAGTAGCATCAAGCGCTGCCAGCCGCAGGGCTCCTTCAATTAATATGCCCAAAGTTACAGGATGGGAGCGCAATCCTTCGGGACGGCTGACAGGACGGTTGGTTGACCTAACGGAATATATGGACCCCAAGAAGTAGTTCCCCCTTCCTACAAGCAAAGTTTTCTCAAGCTAACATTTGCCTTGTTACAATAAGATTGGCTGACCAATCTGTTGACCTCAACCTCAAACTCATGAAATGGAGGATTAGCCCTAATTTGAACCTCGAGAAAACAAAAGCCACCAAGTGCCTCCTCTTAGGGGCAGGCACACTAGGCAGTTACGTTGCTCGAAACTTAATGGTAATCTTCTTGCCTTCCCATTCCCCACTGGCATAGTCACTGAAGTCGTACAGGGCTGGGGCGTCTCTCGAATCACTTTCGTTGATAATGGTTCCGTCTCGTTCTCTAATCCAGTAAGACAACCGCTCTTCAACTTTAAGGACTGTCTTGAAGGTGGGGCCAAAAAGGCACTTCGTGCTTCGCAAGCTCTATCTGAGATTTATCCCGGAGTTGAATCCGCAGGCTATGTGCTTTCCGTGCCCATGGTTGGACACCCTGTCATCGACGTTGAAAAGACACGGGCAGACTTCGAGACACTGCGAGGATTAATTGATGAGCACGATGTAGTATTTCTTCTGATGGATACGCGAGAATCCCGATGGCTACCTACGGTCATGGGCAAGGCGGCAGGTAAAATTGTTATGAATGCAGCGCTGGGTTTCGATTCCTTTGTGGTGATGCGCCACGGAGTCAAACCAGAAATTAAGGACTCGGAGCAACTAGGCTGCTACTTTTGCAACGATGTCGTTGCGCCAATGAATGTGAGTAGTAGATCCAATGTTTCTTGACTAAAAATCTGAACATCTGCTAGTCCACCAAAGATCAAACGCTCGATCAGCAATGTACTGTCACTCGACCTGGCGTGGCAGCCATAGCGTCCGCCATGCTGGTGGAGCTTCTCATCTCCGTTATTCAACATCCGCTGGGTGCAGCAGCGCCGGCTCAAAATCCACGGAACCATGACCAAGGAGACCATCCACTGGGCCTTTTGCCGCATCAAATAAGGGGATTTCTGTCGACCTTTGAAAATGTCTCGGTCGTAGGTAGGAACTACAAATACTGCAGCGCCTGTTCAGACAACATCGTCGAGACATTTAAAAGGGATGGGTGGAACTTCGTACACAGAGCTTTGGATGAGGCTGGTTATTTGGAAGAATTGAGCGGACTGAAAGAAGTAGGTTAAGATCTTATATGTTTCCATCGATACACTTTCGCCTGTATCAGGTCACAAGGATGAACATGAACTCTATGAAACTGACGCTGAATCAGGTCCAAGCATCCGCGGAAGCATCACTTGCTGACATTGACTGGGATGAAGATTCTGATTATGACGGAAGCAAGAAAGTCGACCAGTCAGATCTGTAGTCAGAGATTATCTAAGCCTCGTGGTTGAAGGCTGAGCCTACTATTTTCGACTGATACCAATAAAGTATGATTCTTTCGACTCCTGTCTTGGGATTAGCAATGCTTTTAACGGGTTGTATACGTCCAGTACAATCTCAATGTGGAAGCTTACATCACGCGAGGATTCGGGCTTGTGCCTGTGAACCTTTTGAAAAAGATCTCTAAGCTGTCTCTCAAATTCTTTTTCTTCAGCCCCTTGGTAATATTTGCAGATGAAATGGCCACCTGTTCGGAGAACCTCACGACTGAACTGCAAAGCGGCATGGCATAGATCCTATGGAATTTAGCATTTCTTTACCGGCAAGGAGGGACTACACCACACACCATACTGCCAACGTGGTCTTTGAAGCTTATACCGCTCGTATTCATCATCCTGTTGTAGGGATCACTTAGACTTCTCTTTCCAAACCCAGTAGTTTGGTGCCAGGGAGCAGACATATCGCTTAAGACCACATCAACTGTTCGTTCAATGGCTTTATCCCCTGCACTGTTTTCTGTGGACACCTGTGCAATTCCCTTAGGCATCTCTCGGTCGAATCCGAGCTGATCGTCACTGCCTGGGCTGATGACACGTGGTTTGCCTCTGCTAGGGTCACGTACGAAATTGCGGACATAATCCTGAACTTCTGGGTTGAGAAAATTGCCCTGGATCGTAGAAACCCCCTTGGGGGGCTGAGCTGGGATGATATCAACACCTAAAACCCTGCCATCGGGTTCAGTTCGAGCCACTGCTACCTGGCACGAAAGTGAGTTGCCGTCCTAAATGAGAAGGGAGTCAAAATTACCTGGGACCACGAGCCAGGAGCATATCCCTACACAATTGAGATATAAAAGTCAACTGACTTGAGCATCTTTGCAACTTGGACTCTTGGCTACCGTACAAGGTCAACGACAGTCTGTCCGCTTTGGAACACGCGGTATTTATCATCAATCTGGTGATGGTATCATCAGAGAACGTAACACTAGGTATAGAAACCAGTTGGGCATACTTGGAGAAGCTTGAATGCTGCGCGACTTTTCAAGCCTTGAACTACAGCTTCTTTTGTAAAGTGATCCTTGAGCTGGCGGGCCTGCCATCTTTTCGAGGACGAGTGTCTCTTTAAAGTGAGGTGGCAAAACAAGCGACAGCTTCGTGAAGTACGTGAAATGGGAAAAATATACATAATGGAAGCCCCCTCTCTTTCCTTAGGGTACAGAGGTGATTATTGTGAGCTGTATGCACAAGGCATGTTGTGACACAATACTAAGACTTATTTGAAAAGTACGGAGTAGTTGTTGGATTCTATGTTAGGTTTTTCCTCTCCGTCATTTCAAACATTGCCGGGGCGGGAGGACTCCAGGCAATGGTTTAGACTCATTCAAATCACTGTCCTCGATTTCAAGAGACTGGAGCACCCACTTTGTTTCCTCGGTCATCCATTCCCCTGTTCCTTATTTAGACTCGCCTCTAAAGTATCTTCATCTGATGCCCTTCGATATACAAAACTGGCTCTCAGCAGCCGTCCAGGCTTGTTGTTGAAACGGTACAGTACCTATCACACAGCTAACTTAGCTATCATTTATGATAAGGGTCTGAACAGTCAATTACCTTACCTTTAACCATCTAATATCACTTCAAAACTCCGTATATGAGAATTTATTATTTTCTTCCAGGGTATTGTATTTACTCTTCGCCAAAATACTTACATGGTGCTTGGTACTGTTAAAAACTGTATCATACCCAGGATGATTACTCATCAGTAACTATCGGCCTGTAATCTGTAGGTAAGTACTCCGTACACGACCAAGCTAAAGTACCTGGAGTACGTAGTACATAGGTAGTAGTGGACACCTATCAAATATGGACTGTGGCCGCTGTGGTGTCTCCTGTTGACTACCAAGGCCGTAGTTTAGGTTGACCAACTACCCAGTCCACAACAATAAATTATCACTTACACCTGTTTTAGAAGATCCTCGCCCTACTCCAATGGCTGTTGCGAGTCGCTAAACTTCCCTTTGCCCAATATTTCCACCAAGTACCCAATTGACATGCAAACATGAAGCTTTTGAACTTTCTGGTTCCGTTCCTCGCCATACTTCCTCATGGCCTCTGTGCCAATTCTGACACGGACAAATACGAGAGATATCGCTCACTCGCGAGATCTGCGCCCATTGATCTTGATGACTCTTCCTACGAAGATTTAACATCGAAACCTCGTGATTATCATGTTGCCGTCTTGTTGACTGCTACTGAAGCTCGTTTTGGATGCATTCTATGTCGGGAGTTCCAACCCGAGTGGGACCTCATCGCGCGCAGTTGGAACAAGGGCTCTACACCCAATGACTTGAAAGTGCTTTATGCTACCCTTGAATTCACTAATGGCAAGGAAACCTTCCAAAAAGTAAGATGAATCCTACCGTTTTTGCGACAACATGACCACCAGGCTAATATGTAGAAGCTGATGCTCCAAACCGCACCGGTTCTCCTTGTGTTTCCTCCGACGGTCGGCCCTTTCTCCAAGGTTAACGATGCACCCCTACGTTTTGACTTCAGCGGGTAAGGCACAATTTTTGTGGGAGATGGGTAGCCTTCGCTGACATGATGTGCTCTGCAGTCCTATCTCGGCTGATCAGCTTTATACATGGATCTCCCGCCATCTTCCTGATGGTCCAAAACCTCCTCTTGTTCGCCCGATCAACTACATGCGCATAGTATCGGGCGTCACTATCTTGATGGGTGTAGTGACACTTTTCACAGTTCTTTCACCCTACGTGTATCCTGTGGTGCAGAATCGAAACCTCTGGGCCGCCATGAGCCTTATCGCAATTCTCTTATTCATAAGTGGCCACATGTTTAACCATATTCGCAAAGTACCATATGTCGCCGGGGATGGAAAGGGTGGAATCAGCTACTTTGCTGGAGGGTTCTCAAATCAATTCGGCATGGAAACACAGATTATAGCTGCTATTTGTAGGTTTCTGGTTTGACTAAACATGTGATTGTGCTAAACCCTCTATTTCACAGACGCCGTCCTCTCCTTCGCAACAATTGCCTTGGCAATGAAAGTTCCCCGTATCGCTGACAATAAAACACAGCAGGTGGCAGTGATCATCTGGGGTTCTGTTCTGCTTGGCACGTACAGCTTTCTTCTCAGTGTTTTCAAGGTGAAAAATGGCGGTTACCCTTTCTTCCTCCCGCCTTTCTAGCATGAACACTGGGTCATGAAGTCAGCGCGTAAGTGTATTTCTGGAGTGAAGGCCGGGTTGGAGGGGGGAGGGAGGGCAAGAAGCCAGACTAAGGGATTCCGCGGAAGGGAGTTTGTGTAGACGACATCCGTGGTGTACCTGGTCAGACTACTCATGAACACATATGTATTGGGGATTGTGCATTGGTATAGATGCAAGTGGGGGTACTGCAGCTGGCATTAAAGTAATGCATCTCATGTGTCCGTTTTCGTCATGGAATCGATTAGTTGGGTTTCTAAGCCGAAGCGACTACGAGTACATAACCTCTTTTTCTTTGTACAACTCCGCGTGATCATCTGGACTCTACGAGGGAGGAGGGAGGAGAAGGGGGGGAGGGGGGGATTCTCCAGACAAATGCACTTTTTACATAGTAGTTCTGTTCAAGGAGGGTCTCGCAAATTTCTAGATTGATTGATTCATACACGCATTTGTCAGCCAGCTCAAGGCCGAGTGACGGCAGGCCACGATTCTTAGTAGGCCGGTAACAAATGTTTGACCATTTCCACCACGTATGTGCAGTAGTATTGTATGTCTCTACATACCGTACATACTACTACCCTTCCTGGCCACGGAGAATACAAGTCTCGAGATTCACTTGTGGAAGCGACTAACCAATAGCCAAGCAGTCTAGCTTCAATATTTTATAAATACTTACTAATACAAGTAGTTTATACAGGTATAACTATCCTATTCTCTAGACTTTAATAGCTACTATCTGTTGTGAATTGATATATAGCTTATTGTATATATATAATACTATAAAATCATATTACTTATATTTTTAAAGCTGATTATAACATATGTTATAATATACGGTGTATTTGTATTACAGCAAGATCTAACCGGCACTATTACACTGTGGCTGCAGATACGTCTTGTCAAGTTGTGTTCTACAAGGCAAGGAAGGGTATGTACCTTTGAAGTTGTGTACATGGTTGACCAATAAGGGGTGGTAGGAGAAAGACGGGTGGACTAGCGCAAGTGGAGTAGATTACTAGTGTATATCTAGGTAGATACGTAATGAATCCTCAATCTCGTGGACTTCTTCTTCTTCTGCTTCTTCTTCTGTCAAACTCACCTCAAAATCCAGCCTAATAGTCGTCATCTGTTTTCTATAAGTATGTCATCGCCGGATGACGAAGCTAGCTCTTTGCTAGTGTCACCAGCTTCAGGTACAACGCTCCTGGTTCTTGTTCAATTAACCTCAAAGATATTCACGTTTACGGCAAATCAATTGATTTTGAGGGGCCTACCACCAGCTTTTCTTGGAATTGCAGCCCAGCTGGACCTATACTCCATCACCCTGCTGTTTTTTTCTCGAGAAAGTATCAGACTGGCGATCCAAAGACAGCCGCTTGTTGCCTCTGTTTCCTCTGTTTCAAATAGTCATGGTAAAGACGCAATTGGCAGCAAATCGAGCGCAACTAAACAACCAAGAACTTGGGGATTGGAATCACAGTCCGTGGTCAATATGTCCTACTTGAGTCTGGGAATGGGACTTCTCTTTGCCGTGATACTCGGTACCTCTTACATTCATCTTGCCTCGGATGAGGTTTCTCAAACACCGTCTTACCATCAAAGTGTGAAAATAATTACCATCGCCTCCCTAATAGAACTTGCAGGTGAGCCATGCTTTAATGTGATGCAGAGGTATATGCTGTACAAGCAACGTGCACTGGTTGAGATGAGCGCTGCATTCATAAAAAGCTTGGTAACTTGTTTTATTTTCCTTTGGGCTGCCTCCTATAATATCACTGTTGGTGTTCTGCCCTTTGCACTCGGACACTTGAGCTACGCATGTGTGCTTCTATGTGGTTATGTTATAGCTATCAGAAAGGTGCCAGGTCATCAAGACTTCTCTTTGCTGCCTACAAGACTGCAGTCGCGGTAAGTGTGCCTGCCTAAATTTTTGCATTAGGACACCACCTGATAGGACCCCCAGTGATCGCCACAGCTACGTGGTTAACAGATTCCCCTGGTCAATGATTTCATTGGCTGCAAGTGTGTTTCTTCAGTCCATCGTCAAACATCTACTCACACAAGGGGATTCGATGATTCTAGCGACAATGACAAGCCTAGAAGATCAGGGCATCTATGCCCTTGCCTCAAACTATGGTGGCCTCATGGCCCGCATACTTTTTCAACCCATTGAAGAAAGTGGCCGGGCCATCTTCTCGTCATTGCTTCATAGCAACTGCCTTGAAAAGCGACGAACAGGAAATATCAGTCTCGCTAAAACACATCTGGCCGACATTCTGCGCGCCTACAGTATGATAGCTGTAGTGGCCTTTCCACTCGGCCCAGCTTTGGTACCTCTAGTGCTCGATTTTCTGGGTGGGCGCAGCTGGGCTTCGCCTACGGTGAGTAGCTTACTATCTCTTTACTGCCTTTATATACCATTCTTGGCTTTCAATGGTATAAGTGAGGCATTCGTTTCTTCGGCCGCTAGTCCATTGGAAGTTCGCAAACAGGCACTCTGGATGGGAGTATTCTCAGCTTGTTATGTTTCAGCAGCGTACGTATTCTTAGTTGTGGGTGATCTGGGTGCTCAAGGGATGGTCTATGCCAACATCGTCAATATGGCCGTTCGTTCTATCTGGAGCTTTTCATTTATTCGGTCATTCCTACAACGTTGCACCTTGGCATTAAGACCTTCCGAGTTGCTTCCCCGGCCCCAGACTTTACTAGCTGGCATCATGATATCGACAACTTTGATGAGAAAAGGAGCCTACGGACTCAACTCTGGAGATATTTCAGGTACCTTGATGTATAGTGCTATATACATTATAATTGTGTAAGTCTCTATGAACAACTTCGAAACTTTTGTGGACCCTGACCACTAATCACCATGGACACGGTTAGGTTGTATGTTGAGAGAAAATACTTGCTAGCACAATGCATCAAAGCCAAAGAGATTTTGAGATGTAAAGGCAAGTAC